GGGCAGACAGGCCTAGAGGCACCCATTTTATTGATGATAATCCAAAGGCTTTGGATTATTTGTAGAGAGAGAACAGTTTTCACGCAAACAGCCGCTGCTAATTTAAAAAACAAACACGTAGAGGGATATGTTGAATTGTTCTATAAATGCCCACTCATTTTGGGGATCCTCAGCTTTTTTCCAAATTAATTTTTCACATGGTTATGGGGATGTTTTCTTGTACTCAGTGAGTTTCATTTTTAGGTCTTGGCAGTTAAATCCCTGTGGTCAGCACATACAGCAGTGTTTGAAATTAACAGCACAAAAGAGCCATTTGGAGAAGAGGAATTATGAAGCAAGTATTTTTGTTAAAATTAAAAGTTAGGGCCTTTATCAGGAAACTGCACCCTATCCTTACAAAGTAACAGCTGTGATGATCTACAATAATAGGTCTGTCTGATTAATAATTACAATGATTATTGAGCTAAAGCTATCAGCAACCATCCAGAAATTACAGGATCATAGAGAAAGCCCTACAGTTTGGGACTCTCAGATGGAATTTTTGGTTTGCTTTGATTGGGGGTAGGATACAAGTAGTACAGGTTGGCATGATACAACCATCTGAAGTCCTGTCAAGATTCCTACTCTACAGGTTCATGGATGTGCTCTTATCTGCTACCTCCCGCACAGGAGATGCTGATTCATCCCACAGTATTTGCTGCCCAACCTTGACAGCTGTACTTCTCGTTGACTGCCCAGTTCTTGTGGAATTAAAATTGTTATGCAGCTGTTGCATGGGGAAAAATAATCCTTTTCCCAGAAACACTGTAACTACACTTTCTATGTAGACCCAGAAATAAATGAGAAAAAAGCAGCCTCATAAAAAATCAGCAGCAAGGAAGGCAGGTGATTGTTTCATTTCTCAGTTTTTGTTGCTTGTTCCTGGAAGTTCGGTTTTGCTCTGGGTGACCTTCCATTTGCTCTTCCTTCCTGTGGGCTAAAATTGTGCCCTGAGGATGCAGGTGTCCCTGTTGGACTCAGCTGCTTTTTGTTCCTGTCTCCCCACCATTTCTTTTTCTTTTCCATACTAACAGACCTACCGCCAGGGAAGGTGTTGTAATTAGACCCATGGGTTTATTAGGGTCATGGTTCCATCCCAGGTCCCTCACACAAATGCCGGGAATGGATACAAGCTTTTACCTGGCCTTACTCTTGGTTTCTGCAATTAATCTAAGTTATTCCTGTTCAGAAGTCTGCTTCACCCACCTTGTTCTCTGACTCTGGAACCTCAGTTTGGGCTTCCCAGGCCTCCATGATCTGCTCTGGACATTTGTCCCTGCCTTAGCATTTCCCCACTCATACATTCTGCCTCCGCATTCTGTGGAACCCTTCCATGCTCAGAATGAACCAGACTATCCTCCCCCAGCCACCAGCAGCCCCTGGCCTATATTAACAGGCAACACTAAGGCTTAACTTAGTTACTAACGGTCAGAACAGAGTTCCCACTTCTTCAGCTTCAAGGACAGTGCCTCTTCCCAATGGTGGCAGTCTGCCTTTTGCCTTTGTTCAGCAAAGGAGCAACTTTATTTCTTAATGTGAAAGAAAAACCAGTTCCCATCATACTCACTGATGTACGAGTTAGCTTAGGTTCTCCCAAAAACAAAACCTCAGACAGAGACTTTTCTGAGGTCCAAGAGGCCTTTTTGGGAGGGGATCCTAAGATGTAGAAGTGGGACACAGGGGAGAGGAGAGGAGAAAGAAGCCAGTAGTGGCAGCACAAATCCACTGGTTATTACCTTGGGTAGCTGGGAACCCTCTGAGGAATGGTGGAGAACACCCCCAAAATTGTACCTCTGAAGAACCAGAGAAGGCAGCCTTTTCCCACTGACTCTCAATCCTCCAGTGCAGGAAGTTGCCCCAGGAATGGTAATACCCCCCACACTTTGGGCTGCTTGCATCCGGGCAAAGTGAACTACCAAAGCCTCAAAAAGGCCTGAGCTGGAAAAGCTGAGGGGCTCCCCAGCAGCTGAAGACCCTATCTCCCCACCATTTCGTTTTGTCTTCCATACCAGTGCTGAGGCCCCAGACCAGCTGAGCGGAGGTGGTGTGGAGCACAAAACACATCAGCTATTTTTTATGAGTGGTAAATGAAAGCTATCCTCCTCAGCCACCTCACAAAAACAAAAAACAAGATACGTTTAAAGGGAAATATCCCCAAGACCTGATATCTCTTCTGCAGCTGTTTCTTCATGTCAAGAAGAGGAATCCTCAGACAGCTGGCTTACGTGGCTGAGCTGGGGCCCTTTCACGGGAGTGCCTTATCTTTGAGCTCCATATGTTGCTATGTTAGATGTGCTCCACTAGCTAAAGTCAGGCCAAAAAGGTGGTCATCCCCAGTCCTGTTGTCGCTCTTTGTCAGAGTCTTTAAAGAGCCTGAAGCACAGGCATGAATAGCTTAGGGACAGAATCCTTCCCCTCCAAGGCAAGCTGAGGCTTTGGAAACATTCAAAGCCAAGCAGCAGACTGGGCCCAACTGGGAATGCAGTTATTTCCACAGCAGAGCAGTTCCTACAATGATGTCATCAAAGCTGGCTTCTTCTCTAAGGCACAAACTCTAAATGCTGGGGTGTCCTGGAGCCCGTCCTGGCCTTCTTCAGCATCTCCCCTTTCCTGTATGATCTCACCCAGTGCCTTGGCTTTAAGCATCACCTACATGCAGTTGTCTCTCAAATTTGTGTCTGTGGACTTGGCCTTCAGATGTATATCCTACTTGTCTGCTTGACATCTGCACTGAACTGTTTAATAGGCTCTCAGACTTAGGTGCCTAAAAACATACCTCTTGATTCCAAACCGGTTCCTCAAGTCTTTCCAACCCTGCTCAGTAAAAGCCAGTATGAGAGTATCATTTAGAAGGTGGAAGAAGAGAGCACTGGTAGGGTAGGCTTTCCACAGAGAGTATCATTTAGCCTTTTTCTTGGTAATCTTATATATATTTTTTCAACTATCATCTCTAGGCAGATGATTTCATGTTTATCCCCACTCCAATCTCTCCTAAACTCAAAACCACATTTCCAATTGCTTTGTTGCCCTAATGGTATCTCAAGTTCAGTTATGGCTATAATTGAGATTATGATTATCTTCCCCCAAAAGTTCCACTGTCTTTCAATAAATGACACAACTCTCCATTAATCAGGTCTGAGGCCTAAATTTTTCCCTGAGTCCTCTCTTATTCCTTATATCCAAACAATCAGCAGGCCTTTCTTGTGGATTCTGATTCTGCAACATTTTAACTCCTGCAGCCACTACTCAAATTCAAGTCTTTATTAGCTTTTTGGCATTATAGCAATGACCCAGTTATTCTCCTTGATTTCAACACTGTCACTACATTAATGTTCCTGAAACACATTCTTCTTTTTTCACTTAAATTAAGGCTTCCCACTGCCTTCAAAATAAAGCCCAATTTCTTGGCTTAGCATTTAAGAAGGTTCATTAGCTGGCACAAACCCCTAATTCTTTATCTGTAGATCTTCCTTTCAGCTGTCATTAGCTACCCTTGCCATTTCTACTCATTTTTACTCTGTCTGGGAAGACTTTCACCCATTTTTAGATTTCCATATCCTATCAAGACCCAGTTCAAATACTGCTTCTCATGAGGACTCTATTCAAAGCTGATGTGTCCTTCACCACAAATGCTACTAATACTCTCTCCCTCCTAAGATATCTTGTACTTTCTCATGGTACTGGTACTTCCTATCTTGAACCATACTCTTTTTTTTTTTTTTTTTTTGCATGACCGTTACATTCCCTATACAATTCTGAGTACTTTCAGGGGGAGAGTCTACATTTACCGTTAGGGAAATACTTCGCGACAAAATAAGGATCAAAGTAAAGTATACTGATCTTTTCTCACTACACAATTCTAATTTCCAAAGTCCCTTCGCAAAAAACGGTAAGAAACTCACACCCATCCCATCCCCATTCCAGTGCCCACCGCCTCCACCCCCAGAAACATCAAAGCAAAAGCAAAAGCAAAACACTTCCTTCATGACTGGGACTTGTATAACATGCCTCACTGCAATACTCTTTTCCATTCTGCATCTGGCTTAAATTCATGGATTTCACTAGACTGTAAACTCTATGAGGGCAGAGAATTGTTTTAGTCACTGTTACATACTTAATGCTTGAAACCTAAAATAACTATGGAGTAAATGAAGTAGGCTTTTGCTTAAATGTCACTTTCTAGGGCTTCTGTGATCTTTTCAACCTAAATTGGATATTCAAAAATAAATAAATGCTTTCTCCTAGATTCTATTTTCCACCCTACATGCTAATCTTTAAAGTCCAAAGTTTATCATCTGCATGTGCATGAAGTGAAGAAAATTGAACCTATTTATGCAGAATGCAATCACAAAACGGCTCTAGGAAGTTTTGCTCTTTACGTCTTTGCAAGCTCTTTCAACCCTTTCTAACGAACATTCTTTTAAAGATGCATTCCTCTTTTGACTGATACTTCAGGGATACGCCTGGAAACGCAGGGGAGGCGGAAAGACCCCATTCCAAACTGACCAAGTGCTACTAAAGAGTGAAAGCAAAGTTCGGAAAAAGAATGTCAAGCGTTTGATCAAATCATGACAAACCAACGGCCTGGCACAGGGTAAGGACCTTGACAAGGCAGCCCATGAGAGGATGAGAGGCGAAAAGAGGTAGCTGTACAGAGAAGTCGCCAAAACCTTCCGAGAAGCGTCCCAGAGAGGGTTCCCAGGACCTAGTCCCTGGGGCCGTGCTCTCAAGTCCGCGTGCCACAGACCGCAACACCCTCGGAAGCAGCACACGCCCCAGTGAAAGGGGACCGCGGTCATCAAAGCGCACGCGCACGCGCACACGCCCGCCCGCCTCGCCAGAGTTCCCTATCAGCAGTGCGGAAACTAAGACCCCACGGAACTAGTCTCCCGCCTCGCCTCACGCTGAGGTCTCGAGCCTCCCGGAGGCGGCTGGGAGCTAAGTAGCTCGTTACCACTCACCGCTCGGCCCCGCTCCTCCGTCCGCTCCAGTCGCCCCTTGCGAACCGGTTCCAGGGGGAGCCAGCTAGTAGAGCGGAAAAACAAAGCTTTCCGCAGCGGTGTCGAAGGGGGAGCGTTTTGACTGAGCGACCGTAGGAAGTGACGTCTCCCTCTCCTTCCGGTCCGCCGGATTATGAATGACGGCCAGCGTGGCTGTTTCCCGCGCGTTCTTCCCTGTTTCTCTCCGGGTCTCTCTCTTGGCAAGTGGTCCGCGGGCGAAGACTTCCAGAAGCGGCCTCGGAAAACCGGCTCGGGCGGGGCGGGAAGGCGCAGGCAGCCGGTGTCACCGACAAGCTCAGACACCCTCCCTGCCTGGCCGCGCCTCTGCGACCAGGTAAAGAGGGCGCTCGGGCCGCCGGCTCCCGCAGTCCCTTCGACCCCAAGTGCTGCTCTTTGCATCCCGCGGCGACAGGGCTGACGATGAGGGGGTAGCGCGGAAAGAGTAAGGGCGTGGAATTAGGGTCCGGATTTCTCTCCAACCCCGGGGACCCGTAGCCTCTTTAGTCGCAGCATCTCAGGGTTCGTGCGGAGGGTTCCAGGCCCCTTCTCAGTTTTCCCCACGGCCTTCTCTGCTAATGAAGGAACATAGCAGCTCCCATTTGCAGGAGTCTGGGGGCGTTCACCGTTTGCTGCTAGATGTGGTTTTTAAGACCTTTTGGTAAGCTTTAACATTTTTCTCTTTGGCACTTCGCTTTCCATTATAGCCCCTCCTAATTGTGAATTCTGCTTAACAGTTGCCTCAAAGGTCTTGCTTCCTTTGGGGCCGTTTGCTTCTGTTGCAGTGTCAAAGCCCTGCTTCACTTCGGTTTAAGTTCTATGGAATGTTTGAATCTGACTTGCATGAAATTGCTTTGGTTTCAAAACCGTTTACCATACACATACTTCCCATCCCAACTCTCTACCAATTTCGGAATTAGGTGACTTTTTCTCTTTTACTTTGAATGCCAGCACCCCATTCCTTCTCATAAGTTATAAAGGTGAAGAAAATGCCAGCATTTAATGTATCCAGTGCTAAATTATTGATAAGACAGTATTTCTACTTTTTCTAAGCTTATCTATAGAACCAGTGTTTAATGGAGAAAATGCAAAAAAGCTGGCATGAAAGAGTGATGTGACAATTTTGAACATGTAAACATGGTCATTAATTGTTGTGAAAATAAATTTTTTGTTATAAATACATTTGAGTTGCTGTCATATCTAATAAATCAAACATTAAGCTATGTGAGTTGGTTTTGTTTTGTTTTGTTTTTTAACGGCCGGGTGGGGAGTATACACTATTGAGAGGATTGCCTTAAGTGTACTCATTATTCGATATTATGTTTGAGTTATACCAGAAGGGATCATTTTAAGAGGTCCAACTTCAAAAATAAGTCTGTGAAAAAGTGGCATTTAAAAAAATTGTTTTTTAATCAGTTTTTGTTTTCTTTTCACTTCTAGTACATGTTTGCTTTAAACAAAACTCAAACTTGAAGTGTGTTATAGTGGGCCCATCAGATTTTTTTTTTTTAAACCTGTGTTTACTTCGTAGCTTTTATATCACACTGATTTTAAGAAAAGAGTAAATACTATCCAATTGGCCATTCTAACAGCAACAGTTGGGCAGATTTTGGAACTTAATTGAGAGAGAGTCAACTAAAACATCTGTAATATACACAGTTCCTTAGTATACCTTGTTTTTCAAGTATTCTAAAGTAGCCTACTGAATTCTGTTAGGATTAGTAGTATTTGGAATGCAAAGATTTAAACCATTTAGATCATAACAAGCACAGGTATTATTTGCTTGGGGATTCAGTAATTTTATTTCAGTCTGCTGCTGTATTTAACAGGTTAGCATTTTATGCAGTGATCCTTGCTAATTATGAGGTCAGACATAGTAGCAAGCATGATTCTGTGGCAGCAGATGATTCTGTGATTCATGAGAGAGAAGACACACTTATGGCTATGGTTACAGTAAGCTTTTTTACTAGTAAACATTTTTCCCCCCATTTGTCCACATAATGAAAAAAAGAGCTCATTTTAAACATTGGACTTTGTCCTCTAGACTTAAACTGTATGTAACCCCATATCATATAATGTTTAGAGCACTGGCATAGCTAACTTTTTCTTTCCTTTTTTAACCTTTAGTATCCAAGATAATTAGCTTCTAACTCTGTAGAGGCAAGCTCTTTTTTATTTTTTTTTAATCTATATTCTTGTGAGAAAATAGGTTAGATTTGCAACCAAACAGTATTATCTTGTGAAAAGTCTAAAACAGTAAGTTCCCATGGTCATAATGGTGAACATTTGATATGACAGGGAATTTAAATGGGGTTTAAATTTTAAGAAGAAAAAAGTTTGTAATTTTTTCATACTTGTAAACTGGGTTGAACTCTTTTGTATGATAAGATTTATGCAAATGGCTTAGGGTATCATTTATATTCTACCATTTTGTATCTCCTGGCTTTCAGCTTCAGTAACATTATTTTAATAGGGGTGGGTGGGTAGAGAGAAAACCTTTTCAATTCAACATGAGTCCCTTACCTTTTTTGAGAAGTTTGCAAATATAAAGCATAATTTGGGACTTGCCCATTAAAATTTGTGTTTTTTGATAGTTTCAGTGGATAAAGAACTTGAGGATAAATTATAAATGAATAATAATAGTATTTAAAGGCTTACTAATGTGATGAGCATTGTTTAGTTTTCGCAACACACTATATGGTTAAATATTGTTGTCTCCATTTTATAAATGAGGAAACAGGCACAAAAATGTTTTACATTGTCACCAAATATCAGAACTGGGATTTTAACTCAGCTCCAGAGTATAGGATCTTATCCCTTACTTTGTATTTCTTGGTGTTTTAAATACTCAACTTGCTAAGTACACAGAATCTAATTAGTTTCTGAGTTCCCTTGCCTGAGCATCATACATAAAAACTTAAATGCTTGCTTTATTTATGAGTCTGGATGATTTCTACTTACAATTCTTCCAATTCACCTCACAAAAGTGTTGTTTCTTCTCTTTAATTTATATGCAGTTGACTCTTAAAATATATTGATTCATTTGAAAGAAAAAGAATGGTGTCAAGAAGAATGAGGCTCATGTACCAAGACTAAAGTTATCAATAGCACTGTCATTGTAGTCATCACGGATACTCATTTGTATACATTCATTTATGTATTAATTTCTTAAACTAAAATTTAAGTACCGTTAAGCATTGGAGGTATGCCAGGTAATAAGCACTATAAAGAGAAAGAAAGCTAAGAAGTGATGGAGTGCTTTTTCAATTCAGGTAGTCAGGAGAGGCTGTTCTGTGTGAATATTGAGAGATTTCAGTAAAATGAAGGAGCAGGCCATGTGAATATCTTGAAGAGTATTCTAGGCAGAACAGCAAGTACAAAATATTCTTAAGTGGGAGTGTCCCTGGCATCTTGTAAGAACAGCAAGAAGAACTGGCTGGAGAGGAGTGAGCAACAGGGAAGAGGGGTGGATCAGGTCAGAAAAGGATAGCTAGGGTTATGTCAAGCCCTATAGGCCATAAGAAATTTAGATTTTATTCTAAGTGGGCTGGGGAACCACTGAATGGTTGTGAGCAGGGGACATGGTTGAAGATTTTAAAGGTTCTCCCTATTGTTGGAGAATGGACTGATGTGTGGAAAGAAGAAAAATAGTGAATAGGCTTTTGCAGTAGTCTTTGTAAGATTTGCTGATGGCTTGGATTAAGGTGGTAGTGGTAGAGGTGGTGCTAAGAAGTTGGGTTTAACATTTATTTCAAAGGTGAAAATAGTAGGGCGTGAGAGTAAAAAGAGTTGAGTGAGACTTCGAAATTATGGAGCTGAGCTATTACCTGGATGGATGGTGTCGCCGTGTTCTCAAGAAGCGGACTACTTAGGGAAGAGAACAGGTTTGGAAAAATGTCAAGTAGGATACAGGAGTCCAAAGTTCAGGGAAAAAAGATGTGGCTGAGATAAATAAAAGAGTCATAGATGATATAAGCCTGTGGCACTGGAGATCATCTAGAACAGTGCTGTTAAAATGTGAGTTGCGACCTATTTCTGGGTCATGAACTAAGTAATAGCCAGCATAAAATAAATAAATAAATAAAAAGTACAGAGGAAGAATTATCAGATATGTCTCCTGTAATAGGATATTTTTTCATGATTGTTTTATTTTTATTCAATGTACAGTGAGTTGCTTTACAAAATTTCTTCTGTGGCATGATCAAAAGCTTAAAAGTCAGTATTCAAAGAAATGGGTGTAGGTTGAGAATAGTGCAAAGCACTAAGCCGCAGATCACTAAGAGGTCTGCAGAAGATCCAAAAAAGGGAATCAGGAAGAACTGTCAAAAAACTTAATCTGGTGCTGAGAATTGAAAATAACTGCCTTTAGAACAGTGGTTTACATCAGGGTTTACTCAGACTGGCACAAATGCCTAGAATGACATAATCTCTGATGATTTTCACTTTGATGAAATTGTTGCTGCAATAAAATTACAATATGCTTCAATTTGTGAAATTCTAAGTGTATGAACTAGTGTAATTTATATTAGGAAAATATCTACTAAGTTTTTTCAGATAACATCTTTTTGTAGATTCAGTTAATGTTTTTGATTGATGTACAATTCTCTTCTATGTAATGGAAGTAAAATGTGCTTTAAAGGATTATGAAGATTGTAAGTATGAAATTTCTGTGTGCTTAGCATATAGTTGTTGGACAATAAAATGTCTGTAATACTTAGAAGTGTATTCTTTGTTCATTCATGTAACATTTATTAAAATCTTACCAAATTCCAGGTACAGTGATACTTTGCATTATTATTTGGAAAAATCAACTTGTTAATATTTTTTTGCAATTTTAATGCACTTTTTGTGTTTACTAGGTGATATATAACTTATCTGTTGTGTAATATTTAGTTGCTGTAGATACAGACTTGAATTTTGAGCACAAAACTTTTAAACTTTTTTCTAGCTCCTGAAGAAGTATGTTTATATTCATTATGTTTCTTGTGTTTTTTTTCCCTACTCTTTATATATGTACGTAGGCATGTAGTAAAATATTAAAATGATTTTAGATAAGAAAGCAGCATTTCCCCTTTCACATGTGAAGTAATTCTATTTATCAACACCAATATATGTTAATTAGAATGAGAATGCCAAAAAAAATTCTAAGTGCCTGAAATATTAAACCTGAGACTATTTCAGTTGTTGAAAAATATCTTTGAAGATTCCCAAGTAATGAAATCAAGGCTTAAGTATTTTCTTTTTGCCTATTTATTTCCTCAGCAACATTCCCAGGTAGGTCCAGAGAAGAGGTGCACCCTCCATCAGTTTTCTTCAGCACCTAAAGTTTGTAGTTTTGTCTGCTGTGTTATTTTTCCATCTTAGGAGTAGCTGCAGTGTGGCACCTGTCAAAGCCAAGGAGCAAAAGACAGTGCTTCTGTGCTTGGCAGGAGTGCCACACCAGGCGACGAGAGCCATGCCGCAAAAGCTGGGAGACCCAGAAGATGATCCCACAGTACCGACCTTCTTAAAGCTCATGACATAAAATCAATGAAGTAAAGAATTCTCTAGGCAGAAATGGAGAAGAAAGATGAGGGGTTTCTTTTGCCTATAGTATTTGCAAACCTTAAGAAAAAAATTATTATTATACTTCCTTGCAAAATTAAGGACATAGTGCAAACCAAAAACAGATAGGAAATTTGTGCAGGTTTGTTAATACTTTTTTTTAGAGATTACATTCATACTTAATGGGGGAAAAGTGCCCAGGGAGAGTAATTTTCTTCTGACTCCAAGATCATTAAGTAACATTTTTAATCTTCCAAGAGAAAAACACCAATATCTATAATGAAAGAAATAAATTATGTTAAGAATCAACACTGCATTTTCTCTCAGGCATCTCATTAATTTTTAGCTAACTCTTTGGGCAGGGTATTGCTATTCTATTTTGTTGACATTTAACATTAAGTGCTCACAGTGGGAAAAGTTCTGGATATGTAAAAGCATATTCTCAAGGTTCTTATGTGCCTTGGAAAATCGCAAAACATGTACTCTGTATTTTTATAATTATTTCTACATATTTTTAAAAATTATTTCTACATATCCTAAATCAAAAGTGTAGCATTGCTTTTAGCTTTTTTTTAATTTATTTTTATTCTGTTAGCAGGACTAGTCTTTTAATGACTATTTCTTAAACTGCTGGGCAAATGAAATCAGTCAAGTTTTCTTTCACATCTACTTCTTGAAGCACTTAGGGATTTTCCTTACAGACTTCCACTGTCAGCAGAGGAAGTTAAAAGAGTATCAGTAAACTAATCAGGAATAGGTTTACAGGGGCAAACTCCTCAAAGAGACTATCATCTTCCTGGAAAATGTTGGTTTCCTTTGTCAGTGAGCTTTAATAAATGCCCTTCTTTATTTTGTTTTCAAGTCAGCTTTAGGTGTCAAAGACAAATCAAACAAAACCCCAAAAAGTAATGAAGCTCAGGAAGAAAATGGTTTCCAAGGGATAAAAAGTTGTTGCTTTTAAATTACATGAAATCATTTTCCCTAGATAATCTTTTAAGGAAGTAACAAATCATGCATCTGTTATGTTTTAATGAAAGAAATAGAAAACAGTAGTGATTACTTGCATTATCAAGAGGTTCTCTAAAACTGGACTTTATCAATGATACGCCTTGGTTATAATGGATTATTACTTTAATTAAAAAGTTGAGGATCAAGACGCTTAAACGGTTTTTGACTTTTTGCTTTTATTTTTTTAAAAGTCTAAGGAATTTAGAATATAATGGAGATGTAGGACATTGATGGTTTCCTAAAAGGGTGCATTAATATTTCAAATACACTTAAAAGAAAGTTACATGTTTATTTTTTAAAGGCTTTTAAAATAATTTTTCCTCTAATATACCATCTTCCTATTACATGCTTCTATGGTGAATGCTTTTAAAGAGTGCCATCTAGTGTCAATTTTGGAATTGTGATTTATGGATTAGAACCTGAGAATTTTATACCCAGGAAATGTAGAAATCCAAGTCAAGATGATTGACAAAAATCTTAAGGAATATAACTTGAAAATACCCCTCAATAATTTGACCTCAAGATTGTGTATGTCTGTATCTTTAATATAACAAGCGTATGTATTCATCTATGCATTCATTCAACAAATGCTTCTTGATTATATATACATATATGTAGCAGGCCCCACTTTAGTCATAGCAGTGAACAAAACAAAATTTCTGCTTTCATGGAACATTCTTTTTGGGGTAGACAAAACAAATATATAGTTTGTCACAACAGTGATCAATGATTATATGATTATTATATTGGAGGATCATAAAACAAGCTGTGTGGGAGAACCATCACTCTCAAAACTTCTCAGGGCTGTTATCCTCAGACACCTCTCAGTATTCTTGGCTATTTCTTACTTGCCATTCTCTTCATCTCTTGCCCTCACCAGTAGTGAGACCCCCCCCCCCTCAAAATACTTGATCAGGAGGGTCCTATTGCAAAGCACCTGAGGTTTGCTCATTTTTAAGAGCTGGGTATAAAATCACCCTGAGATTAGTTAATCCACAAAGTGGATTTTGGAATTATTTGGGAATATTTCTTTTGGAAGCCATTTATTCAGTCCAGGAACAAATTTTACAGAATTTTATCACAGATCATTGCTGATTTCTAGGAAAAGGTTTTTTTACATTGATTTTTTTATTTCAGCTTCTAAATTACTGTATTCTAAGGCCTATAACTACTTTAATTTATGCTTCAGGTGACCCAATGAAGGAAGAAAATGAAAGGCATTAAGAAAAGTCTTACAGAAGAACATCTATATTTGGACTTTTCTCACCAAATAGAAGGATGCATCTTTCCCCTTCACACATCTGTAACTTTATTTTTGTTATCATACTGTGATTGCAAAATCTTTAAAGTTTGCTTAGTCCTCACCAGAGAAAGCACAGATATTTCACTAAAAAATGTACTGTCCCAGCATGTCGAAGTACAGATTATTTCAAGACAAGAGCTTCCACCAATAGTCCAGAATTGCTGTTTACCTGCAGTAGTCGAAAGACCAGAAACTTTTTGTAGAGCAGGACTTGCTGTTGTACTGAGACACATAATCCAGAAATCATATGAAACAGACCCCTCAAAGAAGGAAATTTTAGAACTTCTGGGTTTTAAGAAGACTTGCTTGAAAGCCTGTGCTGAAGTAAGTATAATGTCTCTTTTCAGTTAATTAAAGCCATAAAGTGGTTGACACATTCACTTGAACATTTGGTTAAACTTTTAATTGGAAACCAAAATTTTGTTTACTTAAACCCCTAGCAACCAATGAAATAGCTAAAGTAGTCCTTCATGTATCCCAATATCTCAGTGCAGTACTGGAAAATAAGAACTTGATTTAATTCATGAGGTTTGGAAACCTTTTTTTTTTTTAGAGAATGACTTAAAAAATCTTTTAGTTACATTGAGAATTTTTAAAGGGAATTTTACAGGAGTTCAAGTACAAATGCTTTGGAAAGCCTGCTTTTTTACAGGGGTGTGCGCTTTTAAAGGCTTTGGGAAGTAAGGATTTATTCAGTAAGAAGACAACAGGAAGATAACATGTATAGGAATGCTAAGCCCCCATTGTTTAATGTTATCCCTTCTGAAGTGTAATATGTCTCAATGCAGCATAAAAGCCTAGCCCAGGGATGGGTGAGCTCAAGACTTAAATACTCCAAACTAGTTTTATATCCCAATAGAAAGTTATTTTTCTTCAAGGTACATTGAAGAATCCTTTCATTTCTTGTTTTGTGTTGCTTTGTAGGTTAGTCAGTGGACCAGACTATGCGAAATCACCATCCCTTTAGCTATTGAGAATTTTCTCAGAGAATCTTCTGACCAGCACCCAGCTATCCCTGCAGAAATACTGCAGCTGGAGAAAAAGCTTAGTGAACCTGTGAGAGTACATAATGATGACAAACTCCGGCGGCAGAAGCTGAAGCAACAGAAGGCTGCAGGGCTTGGGCCTTACCTTGCTGAGGAAAAAATGAAGAGTGAGGTCCACAGACAAGAAACATCTGAAGAATTGGACCTCTCATCCCTGAACCTGGAACTGAAAGTTGCAGTCCCCAAGCTGGCAGTACATGAAGAACCAGCCACTACCAACAGGGAGCCTTCTCACATCAGAAAAGCAAAGGCCTCTGACCTTCCACCTCTAGAACATGTGTTTGCAGAAGGCCTGTACTTCACTTTGGCAGATATTGTGCTCTTGCCCTGTGTCCATCATTTTTTGGTAAGATTTATCTGGAGTGCATACATTACTGTAAGTTCCAGTCTATGAAATTGCCTAGGTTTAAATCCCCATTCCATTTCTTACTTTCATGCCCCTGAACACGTTGCTAATATCTGCCTCAATTTTCTTATCTGCAAGATAAGAAAGATATAATGGGCTGCAAGATATAATGGGCTCAGTGTGAGGAATAAATGACAATGTGTGTGAAGTGTGGATAGTGTTTGGCGCATAGTAAGCTCTCCATAAGTGTTAGTAACCATTATGACTTTTGATTTTGAGTTCTAAAATGTCGGTAATTGTTGTGACTATTAATTTCAAATAGCTTTTGTGATTACCTTCTAATATTAGAGATTCCAGTATTAAAACACTAAAAAATATTGTCAGCTCTATTTCATAATCAAGTAGTCATGTAAAATACGAATTTCATCATGTTAGGTATTATTAAATCAGAAATATTTTATCTCTATGCTTCTCTGTTCTTTGTAAGATTACAGTGGCTGGCTATGCTATTCAATGCTGTAGGAGAATGTAATTGGGAAGTTTTCTTTCCTAGTACAGTCACATATACACATATGTGTGTATTTTCCCCCTCTGTAAAGGAAAAAAGAACAAGATAAAAATAATATCAGAGTGAACATGGAAAGCTGTACCTCCCTGCAGCTTTCCAGTTGGTTTCCAGGAGCTGCATTTTTCTTCCTTTGAAGCATTTCAGCCTTTTCCCTACTAAGGAATCAGATATCAAATTTCATTCCCCTTACATAGCACCAACACTTCAGGTGTCTCTACTGATGGATGGGAAAAGATTTCTAGTGAAAATCTCTATTTCAAGGCTTGTTTTTCACTAATAGGTGAATTTAGGTGGTATTAATCAATTGGCATTTCTTAAAGAACATTTTTCTTCAAAGTGGAAAAGGTTTTTTCTCCTTTCCAATCAGGTAGGAAACAAAGTAGAAACAAAACAAGATTAGAAACCAAAATAATTTCAGAATTAAAGGATATAAAGTGGACATATTTAGGAGTTGTTTGGATATTGTTAGTATTTTTAATGTCAGATATATTTGTAGTGTCCACAAAGCTGGATGGGGAGAAAACATCAATTTTTCTTTTTCCTTAGTCAAGTGATTTCTAAATTCTCCTTTCCCTGATCTCATCCCCTTATTAACCAACTTCAGTCATTAGATAAATACTATGAAATATGGTTGGTGTTCATAGCTTCTTGGTCTTCTTGAGTAACTGTGTGTGCTTTTTAATTTCATGATAATTGAATCAAAATAACATATCATTAATTCATTAATTTGAGAAATTTCATGAACGCCTACTGTATGTGGCAGGCACTCTGTAGGCTCTAGGAATATACACTGATGGACAAGACAGATAAGGTCCCAACCCTCATGGAGTTAATATTCTACTAGGGGAAGATAGATAAACAAAAATATACAATTAAATAATGGTAAGTGCTATGATAAAAAAAGCAAGTATTTGCTTTTTAATTCAACAAAACTTAAAATTTGATTCACCTACATGAAGTTGATTTTAGATTATTATCTAGACATCCATCTTTAGCTAGTTTGCAATTTATTTTAGGTTAATTTGAATACTATTTACCTGATTAGGATCAGTTGAGGTTGAAATATTGCTAGTTGAAAAGGTTTTTTTCTCCTCGCCAATTAGGTTAGATATCTACTGATCACTACTGGGTCATTTTATTTAATGCCACTCAGCAACTTTGTTTTCATCTCAGTTTAAAACTGGGGAAAACTCATACACTCAGCTTTTTTCTATTACATGTGTTCTATGACTAAATTCTCTTTTGACATTTATATGTAAACTAATTCTCAAAATATTTTCCTTTGTTTTCATTTTTCCTGGATCTGCACATTTTCTTTCCAGAATTTCTTTCTTTGCCAAAGCCATGATGTTGTTTCTGTTATATTTATTTTGCTCTTTTAAGTCATCTTGGGTTATGAACAATTGTTTTAGTTTAGATAGTGACTGTGATGCTGAACCTTTGTGCTTGCCTTAACACATATTGAGGTGATGGAGTGGAAGTCCAAATGGTCAGAATCAGAGTCAAGTTCATGATCAGGAATGAAGGTCAGGTTACTAGGTTTGAATCAGAAACAGAGCTAAACCTAGGGCCAGGATGTTGAGCCACAGGAATAAGGCCAAGAACATAAAAGAGCAGTCAACTTTGCTAAGTCAAGGTTTGGAATACCAGAGATAAAAATTAGAAGAATTAGGGAAAATACTCAGTTCTTCTAAACAGAATAAAGCCAAAAATGCAAAACAATAGCAACCTGAGTGGCTGAGGTTTTGCATCTAAACTTGTTCCAAGCTTTTCTTCCTCTTCAGTGTGTATTAGTTTGCAAAGTTAAACCCTGATAACCGAGCACTTCTTCGTGGAAAGTACCTGGCAAAACACTCTCCTCTAGAAAGTTTTAGGAATAGATTAAAAAGGAATAAATTAAAATGCACCCTTCTTATGATTTTCCCCCTTTAAATAATTTGCTAGAATCCTCTGGTATTTAGGGTAGCAAGCAAAGAGGAGGAATAGCAATGAATAGCTACACTAGGGCAAAATCCTGCCGTTTCCTGACACCATAAAATTCTATAGTTATTTTTAAGTTGCTACTAGTAAACAGGTACACTTTGATAGAAGGTATTTAAAAGATTGTTCTCCTGTAAGACAGAATTTGTCATTGTATGAAATCTTTTTGTAATTTGAACACTTATGATTTAACTTTCTACATTTTAAATTCTAATGCTTTGAATTGAGTTTTTTAAAAAATGATACATTTATTGGTAAAGTAAAATGATTATAGAAATTGATTTTGAGCAAAAACACCTGCATTAAGTATCTCTCAGTGTCCCCACTAACATAAAACTAGGAATAAAATGAGAATCTCAGTATTGGCTGATATATTATAAAAATCATGGATGGCACTTAATTTTTATTTTCCATATATTCTGTGCATTAGATTCTTAAGAGTTTTAAGTTTAAATCCACAAGTTCTAATCTGTAAATTTTAAAAAATGCAGAATTGGGATTATATTTCCCTTTAGATTGTTTACTGCTTACACTGCTCACCTAAATATTTGTTAGTTATGACTTTTTGAAGGAGTAGACAAAATTAAGGAAATGATATAAAATAAATACAAAATATTTTATATAGTAAATGATTGGAAAGTAATACAGAGGAGATATTTTGGATAGATGTAAAAATGTTTCACTTTTTATTCAGACAGGTTTTTCTGTCCCTTTTTACAGTTAACTACACGGCCTCTAGGGTTTCATTTTGTTCTTTAGGTAGCACAAACTTTTATCATTGTTTAAGAACAAATTCTCTTATTTTCTTCCCCTAAAGTAGCTGTGATTTTTGTAATGGTTCTGATCTTATCAGTCATGTAACTTTTTTTTTGAAAAAACAAAAGAAATCATTTCTTAGGAACAAATTTAAGTTTCATGTCATACATTTTTCATTAGCCATTCCTTAAATACATCCAGAGGTACGTGGTTCTGTACCTCTGGAGTTGTCTGGATGTTATCAGAGCAGCCTGGCTTGATTAAGTGGGATGACCTGTCATACAGAGTAAAACTTCTCAATTTCTTTTAAACATGATATTGTTACTTAATCACAACTTATTTTCAAATGGAAGGAAAGATGTTATATGCAACTAACAAAAAAGAATAAATCACTACTGAAGAGAGTAAAGGAAAGGTGAAGAAATGAGAACATTTCTTATTTGATTAATTTATCATGACTTAAACTCAATTCCCTTAGCAAATAAGCTATTTCCAGACAACTAAGAATTTTGGTGAGAATTATAAATTTTTTGGCTTCCAGAGTACCAGTTAGACAGCATATTTCAAACATTTCACTCTAACACACAGTAAATAATGCATTTTACAAGGTGATTGAGCATACCTATACAAATATATATATATATCACGTATACGTCTAAAATATAAATACAAAGTAACCCACCTTACTACCTGCTGTCTACTCATATTTTCTATTTTATTTCACTTTTTAAGAAACCTACTATGTTGATTTCACAACCTCATAATGGGTTATAAATAGTTAATTTAGAGTTTTATCCTTTGAAGGTAATATATGGTTCCTAGATCATTCATTCATCCACTCAACAGAGTGAGTATTATTTGCAAGGCAGTGTTTTAAGTGCTTTCAGTATGCAAGAGATTTAGACATAAATCCTGCCCTTATAATCAGTTACCTGTGCTTATTTAAAATCCAGTTAAAATAGAGTAAAATATATATGTGTGAATTTTTCATTAATTCTCTGTCCTTTCTGGGTCCTGCTTTGGTACGGATTATTGCTAGATATATTTGTAGAGATTTTATATGACTTGACCTTTTTACTTATCTATCTGTTCATAATCTTAAGTCATAATCTGTTTGTGACATTATAACTATTTCCATGGAAACAACAACCAGTGCCTCTTAGAGAAGAGAGAACTAATTTTTAAAGAAATTGAAGTTTGGTGGTGATGCAAGGAAGATAGCATCTGGCCAAGAGAAAACAAAATGTTATTAATCTACATCAGGATAATGGTTTCACATTTTTCTAATTTAAATAAATCAAAGTCTTACTTTGAGAGCTGCATTGTAAAAAAAAAAGTTCTCTAAATGATGCTAGGTATCTTTTTCATTTCTGCATATCTGTAATTGTATGTTTTATCTTTCTTACTGTTTTACTTTAGTAAAAAGTCCTTACCTCACCAAGTATCTTTTTTTAAAAAAAATATGATTATGAAGGGTGCTTCTTATATTATTTTGAATTAATTTTGGCTTAATTCTGTATTAGTTCACATATTCAAGGAGAATGGCTTCACTTAAAAAAAAAAGGAACTTTAGATCACTATTAAAAAAGAGTGCAACGTCTCCATTTTCACACTTCTCCAGTGAGTGCAACATTTTCATTGAGACTCTTCAACATTTGTCAGTGATTATAGACTATATAGACATCAGATTCTGATCACTTAAAAATGTTACATAATTTATTTTGAAAAAATCAACACTTAATTTATTTTAATTTTTTCTGCATTTATCACTTCATAAGTAAATTTAACAATTTTCATTAGAAAATATGTCTTTTAATTTTTTGTTACAGTAGTATCTATTGACTGTCTATATATAGTATATCAAATATAATGAGGGTCAGGGACAGTGGAATGTGTTTATGCCCATGAATTATAGATGAAGGGTTTCTGGATTTGAAGGAAGTTGACTAAGGAAGAGTTTTGGAGGGGAATAAAAAATATACTACCAATTAAAGATGATAGATACTAGAATACAAAATGTAAACTTTTCCAAAATGATTTTTGACCTTAGCATTTGTAGACATTTACAAATGTTGTTATGTTACTTATATTGATTCTTCTTGGAATAATCTGTTCATACTTTTTGTCTTTTTTCTGTTAAGAATGGTTTTTTCCATTATTACTACTCTTTAGTTTTTTGGTTTATGGGATAGTATGTGAATACATTCTTAGTTTAAAATTGGATTTTGGTCTTTTTTTGTTTTATAAAGCAAATATTAATAGCTCTAATACAAAATAATAATTGTATAATATTTATATATGCTATATATACTATTATATACTCTTATAGATACATATATAAATTTTCTAGTGTGCATATGTGTGTGTAATATTTATTATTGTTATTATTATTGTTCAAGTACACAAATGCCTTTTGGGCTTCTCATTATTTATGTTACTACTTTATCAGTCTTATTTAAATAGTATGTTTAGATTTAGAAATATATTTTTTAATAGAATTTATTTTTTAGAATAGTTTTAGATTCATAGTAAAATAGAGCAGGAAGTACAGAGAGTTCCTGTAGACCCTCTGTGTCACCCTTCCCTGTCACCCTTCCCCCACTAGTCTCCTCCTCTGTCAGCATCCTGTATGAGTGGTACATTATAATTGATGAACCTACATTAACAAATCACTATACACCGTAGTTTATATTAGGATTCACTCTTGGGGTTGTATATTCTGTGGGTTTTGACAAATGTGTAAAGACAAATGTCCATCATTATAGTATCATACGGAGTAGTTTCATTGCCCTAAAAATATGTGCTCCAACTATTCATCCCTCTGTCCTAACCCCTGACACCCACTGATCTTTTTATAGTTTTGCCTTTTCCAGAATGTCATACACTTGGAATCATACTGTATCTATCCTTTGCAGATTGGCTTCTTTCAGTTAAAAATATGCATTTAATGTTCCTCCTTGTCTTTTATGGTTTGATTAGCTAATGTCTTTTTAGTTTGAATAATGTTCCATTGTTTGTCTGCACCAGTTTACCCATTTACCTACTGAAGAACGTCTTGGTTGCTTCCAGCTTTTGTCAATTATGAGTAAAACTGCTGTAAATTTCCACGTTCAGGTTTTTATGTGGACATAAGTTTTCAACTCATTCAGAGTGCAAATGATGGATCATATTGCAAGAGCAGTTAGCTTTGTAAGAAACTGTCACTGTCTTCCTAAAGGGTGTACCATTTTGCATTCCCACCAATAATGAATGAGAAATTCCTGTCACTCCATATCCTTGCCATCATTTGCTGTTGTCAATGTTTTGTATTTTCACTATTTTTAAAGTATGTAGTAATATCTTGTTGTTTTAATTTGCAATTCCTAATGAAATATGAGGAACAATTTTTGAAGTACTTATTTGCCATCTACATATTTTCTCCAGTAACTTGTCTGTTCAGACCTTTAACCCATGTTTTCTTTCTTTTTTTTATTTTTTAAAGTATACTTGATATATGATCTTATATTGGTTCCAAGTATACAATACGGTGGTCCAGCAGTTACCCACATTGTTAAACCCTCACCCCCACTATTACAGTTACTATCTGTCAACGTAGGAAGATGTTACAGAATCATTGGCTATATTCTCCATCTCTACTACCATCCCTGAGACAAATTTATATTATAATTGATCATTTTTGTGCTTTCTTACCTTCACCTTCCCATCTACCCATCCCAACCCCTCTTCATGGTAACCACCAGTCACTTCTCAGTGTCTATGAGTCTACTGCTATTTTTCTCATTTCATTTTGTTTTGTTTTTAGATTCCACAAATAAGTGAAATCACATGGTGTTTGTCTTTTTCCACCTGGTTTATTTCACTGAGCATAGTACCCTCTAGGTCCATCCATGTTTTTGCAAGTGGCAGGATTTCTTTTTATGGCTAAATAATATCCCATTATGTATATGTACCACCTCTTATTTACCCATTCACCTATTGATAGACACTTAGGTTGTTTCCATATCTTGGCCATTGTAACTAATGTGGCAATAAACTTAGGGGTGCATATATCCTTTTGAATTAGGGATTTTGTTTTCTTCAGGCAAATTCCTAGAAGTGGAATTACTAGGTCAAACGGTATTTCTATTTTTAGTTTTTAGAGGCACCTCCATAATGCTTTTCACAGTGGCTGCACAAATTTACATTCCCACCAACAGTGTAGGGGGATTCCCTTTTCTCCACATCCTTGCCAACACTTGTTATTTCTTGTCTTGGATAGTGGCTGTTCTAACTGGCATGAAGTGATACCTCATTGTGGTTTGATTTCCATGTCCCTGATGATCAGCGATGTGGAGCATCTTTTCATGTGCCTGTTGGCCATCTGTATTTCCTCTTTGGAGAAATACCTGTTCAGGTCCTCCGTCCATTTTTTAATCGTTTTTTTTTTTTTTTGGTGTTGAGGCATATGAGTTCTTTGTATTATTTTGGATATTAAAACCTTTATTGTATAAATTGTTTACAAATACATTCTTTCATGCTGTAGGTTACCTTTTTGTTCTGCTCATGGTGTCCTTTGCTGTTCAGAAGAATTTTTTGTTTGATTAGTCCCACTTGTTCATTTTTGATATTGTTTCCCTTGCCTGGGGAGATGTGTGTGTCCAGGCAAAATTTGCTCATGATTATGTTCAAGAGATTTTGCCTGTTTTCTTCAAAGAGTTTTATGGTTTCATGTATTACATTTAGGTAATACGTATAGACAGCATATATTGTAAGTGGAAGAAGACACATTTTATGATCTCACCATTATGAAATTCTAGAAAAGGCAAAATTGTAGGAATGCAAAGCAGATGAGCGACTACCTGCAGCTAAGTCGGGGAGCAGAGATTGGCTGCAAGTGGTCACAAGAGAACTTTTTGGTATGACACAAGTGTTCTAATACTGGATTATTATGGTAGTTAGACAACTGATTAATTTTTTCATTATACCGTATACTTAAAGCATGAATTTTATTGTATGTAAGTTACATCAATATAGCTGTTAGAAACAAACAAAAAATATATACTTGTGTGTTTTGTTCTTTTCCTGCCTAGGTAATTATCTGCAAGAAACTTTCTGAAAAGCTGATAGAATTTCCACTGCTGGCTGCTTGGTACCAGAGGATGCAAGAAGTGCCAAGAGTACAAACAGCAGCAGCTCAGTGTGGTATCCAATTTCTCCATTTACCAGAGTTGCTGACCACCTCAAATGAACAGCATCCAAACTTACGTGAGGCCCCAGGTGTAGAGGAGCAAAACGATCCTTTGTTTATAGGAGGACCAAGACCCACTATGACCAAGTTAATGGTATTAAAGTTTTCCTTGAAAAATTCCATGTGATAGTGCTGCTGAGCATTCTGCTCCAACTTGCAATCATTTGTTGACATTATTTTTGTTATAAGTTTTTATTGGTAGCTATCTTACGTCGCTTTTGACCAATTAATATTTCTGCTAATCTTTAGCACTTAAGTGAAATATAGTAAATTGAAAATTTTTAATATATGTGTCTTTGGAGTCAGGTAAGTCAGAATACATATTTTTTTTAAGTATTTTCTCAAAACTTTTTTTAAAAATATATTCAGGGACTTTGGTTAAGGTCATAATCAGATTTGGGCAAGTGTATTTTTGACCTGACATTTTTCTGTTGTAAGGTTTTGGTCTGTTTTCTTTGGTGAATGAAAAGTTTGCTGATTTAGAAAACTGTAAGATTTTAGTTGACACCAGCCCCTTCTCTCATCAGCTTAACTTTGTTCACCTAGGGCTGAAACAGTGAAATACCATAATATAGTTGATTTAGATAATATCAAGGCATGTCTAAAGTTTGATGTTACCTTGATCACGTGATTCTACTATGCAGGGATCTCTGGTTCCTCTTCTTAGTGTTTTTAAATAAATAATAACAAGGAGATAAATAATTTGTTTTATATTAAAATGCTAAGTTTTAAATTTTTCACAAACCAAAAATCTGTAATTTTAATTCACACTGATTTTCCTTCCTTGCTTTTCAAGCAGTAAATGACACTAGGAAAGACATTTGTATTTTATATGTTTAAAATATAGTTATAAACAAGGAGAGATAAATAACTGAAATTTAAATTCATGAAAAGTTAATGATTGTAAACATAAACTCTCTTGTAAGAATATACAAAGTATAAAGGCGTCCTGAATTTTTAATTTATAAGGATGTGTTAGTTCAGGTCCTCCAAAAAGTGGACTCCAAAATGGGTTAGATGTGCAAGAGGTCTACTGAAGGACATGTGTGAAGGACAGTCAGGGAGTCAGGGAAGGCTGGGAGCACAGACAAGGGCCCCTGTGCATAAGAAGGAAAAGAAGGGTTGTGTTAGAAAAGTTTTAGACTTTAGTGCAGTACTAACAAGGTTTGACAAGCAAGTGGAAAATCTTTAAGCCCAGATCATCTGTCAGAAAGTTCCATGTTTCTCATGAATGGTTTGCCTCAGGACTATCTCTGCAGCTCTGTCACTGGCTTGAAAGCAGACCATGGGAAGACTGCACTTGGGACCAAGTGACTTGGGTTGTAATCTCAACTTTGTAGTTAAGCTAACATTGTGATCTTCATTTAGTCATTTATCCAAAAGATTTTAATTTCTCTATTTCTGTGTTTATCTTTTCTGATTTTAAATCTTATGGTTGTATAAAAGATGACTGGGACATTATATCTACAATTTTTTAAAACAGAAGGTAATATCTGAAAAAAGTTAAAATTCCAATTTTCATTTTATTCTGACTTCAGTAGTATGTATTAGATACAGTAAATTTTTATTTTTAATAGGGCATTGTTTTTGCTACTTAATAGTGAATTTCTCTATTGACATATATTTGAAAGACAGCAAATATTATACCATATTAATATACTATGTGAAGATATTAATTTTGTTTATATAGTAACTTTTCATTTCTGTTTCATCATAGTATTTTGTGCCAATTACATGAGGACACATGAAATTGGTGCCAAGTGGAAGTATAATATAGTAAAGTATTTCTTAGGAACATTCACATCTCACTTCTTATTCTCCTTCTATTTTCTTTGATTCAGTCTTATCTCCAAAATTTCCTCAATTCTTCAGAGATTTTAAATGTATTTATTCACTCATTCAGTCAAGAAAAATGTATGTGTCTACTAAATAGCAGGCATGTTCTGAATGTTGGATATATAGAGAATAAATTGCACTGCCTTCATGGTACTTACATTCTCATGAGAGAGGTAAATAAAGAAAAAAATACAAGTAAAGTATAACATATTAGATAATGATAAGTTCTGTAAAAAAAATAATATGTGGTAGGTGGGGTGGAAGTAATAGTTGGGGTCCTTTTTAGATAGAGTAGTCTGGAGGGCTTATCTGATGAGGTGTAGATATTAAGCAAAGACCCTGAGGAAGTGTTCTAGGCAGAGGGTTGAAGGTCCAACTAGTAAAAAGACCCTGAGCAAATCTATCAGTTCAGAAAGTAGATCAGTTGCTCAAGGCAGGGGACTGATGGGGGAGAAGGGAGAGTGTCTGCTAATGGGTATAAGTTCCTTCTTGAGGTGATGAGATATTCTCAAATTAGATAGTGGTTATGGTTGTACAACTGAATATTTTAAAAACCATTGAATTGTATGCATTAAGGGAGTAAATTTTATGGCATATAAGTGATATCTCAATGTATCACTTTTTTAAAAGACCCTAAGGTAAGAATAAGTTTGGTGAAATGAGAAATAGCAAGAAGTTTGGTATGGCTAGACTAGAACAAGTGAGGTAGGAGACAGGTGTATGATGTCAGAGTAATATATTTATTTTTTGGAGACAAGTAAGTACTCTTGACCTCTACCTATATTTCCACCCTAACAAAAGAACCTTTATACTATTTCTTTTGGGACTGGAATTCACCTAGCTCACATAATTGGAAAATAATCTCATGAACTAACATAGAAAAGGAGTTAATGATAGATTCTCAGGGATTTTTTGTTTGAATAGGATATTGCTGGAGATAAAAATACCTAAACAGGGATGTCTATCCTGTGGGCTATGGGCCCAGAATGTGTTTGGAAGGGGTCTGGAATCCATGTCTGTAGGTCAAGTAAATTTTTAATGTTGTCATTTTTTAACATGTTGGAAACCACTTGGTTAAAACAGAGAACTCCTTTTCTTAGAGATATTGCAGACACTTGTAAAAGACTGGTAATGAATGATATTTTGGGGTATATATTAAAGTGGAGGCTTTTTAGTCCTGTAAACATAGCTTCTATACTGTGGCAATTTTCATATATGTAAAAACAGACTTTGATGGACATATACAGTCAGTTTTTTATTATCTCTGTGTGGATTATTTTTGATACAATTTTTATCCTCAGGTGACCTTTCCAATATATTTCTAGGTAGCTTATTACTTGTATGCAGTTTCAGATAATAATTTTAAAAACTGTATTGCTTTTTATTATCTCAGTATAAAAAATATAAAAGTTTTGGCAAAAAATTCAACAAGTCATATTTCTTATGTAACTAAATATTTTAAGGAATACTAGTAATTGCTAATATATATGTTCCTCCTTGCCAATAAAGAAAATAAAAACTTGGCCTTCTAAAGCATAACAGAATTTTATTAATTCATTAATTTGGAAAAAGCTTATTTCCTTTTCTAGGAAAAAGGCATTGAAGTGATGTTTTCTCCTCACCCTTGCCCTTCTTGGACCCTTGACTGGAATAATCTTCCTGCAGCAGTGAGCCCCAAAGAAGGTGAGTTTGGTTTTTTTTCCTCCTTTAAATTTTATTTGTAATCTGGGTACCCCATTCAGATCTGTCTTCCAAATCTCTAATTCTCTCTTTGGCTATATTTAATACTCTGATAATACTACTCATTGAGTTTTCATTGTATTTTTATTAGAAAAATTTCAAATATACACATTGCCTACATTTAACATTTCCTACATTTGCTGCATTTATTCCTTTTTTTTCTTTGCTGAATATTTCGAAGGAAATTCCAGGTAATATGTCACACTGTAGTACCCATATCTAAAGAGTATTGACATCTTAAATTATCACCATGTTATTATCACACCACAGAATTAAAATTCCTTGCTCCTGTAATGCCCAGTCCATAATCATCTTCTGCTATTTGTTTTTTTCTGTTGACTTCACTCCTGGTTTCTTATTTCACTGTTAGTTTTGTTATTTTAGATTGTGAATTCATTTTTTTGGCTACCTAAATCTGTAGGAATCTTGTGGAGCTAGGTTAGGAATAAATTACCATAGAAAGGACTTATATTTATTTATGCCAGGCATCTCAAGTTACTAGAACTTAAGACTACTTAGCATTATTTTTTCAGTTTGAGATTTCTTCAGCCTTTTCTATCAGGAGCTGAGGTTTAAGCAGACATGTTACTTTTTATCATCTTACTTGACTGTTGAGTAGGACTTTTTTTTTTAGTGATTATTTTCTTAAGAAATATAACTTTTCAAGTTTCTGCTTTTATGTAGTGATATTAGTTCCCACTCCCTACCATTATAGGAATCACAGACTAGCCTCTTTGTCTTTCTGTTAAAGCCTAGATCCCTATTATTAGCAAATAACTTCCTAGCATCAGTGGTGTCAGTTTAAGATTACTACACTGCTTTTTCACTCCTTTTTAAGGCTACATGGATCTCCTTTACTCTCAGAAATCTGTTAGACATATAAAAGGATGATTGTTGAATTTTAAATACTATTTTAGGCATTTTTAGATGGAGAACTCTTTTAAAGCTCAATGTACTATTTATTTAATTGTCCACCTATTCTTTAGTTTTATACTAAGCCAAATGTAACTTTTGATATTCAAATTTTCTTTGAAATTGTTTGCCTTCCTTTTTCATATTCTTTTCTTCTGTGATGTTTCTAATATTGCCTGTATTTCACTGCCAATTCTATTCTGTCAATGAAGGAAATAATTTAGAAATCTTCTAGAATGGAAGAAGATTATGTTGGAAACTTAAGAACTTCTGCCTCAAAGACATTTTATAAAAATGAAATTTGTATTTTGGTCTTTTATTAAATATATGAAAAACAGTCACTAATGAATATGTTGATATTTTAATTTTAAATATTTTCTGACACTGAAAATTTTTAATACTGTTTTTATTGTACTTGCAGTTGATTATTTTATATATTTACTAGTATAGTAAAGATATAGCCTAGATTTTGAACAGGTTAAAACTATACTAAATAACAAATCAGCTTCTTACTAAGATTTATATTTATCAAGAAATGAATACAGAGTTTTCTAAGTGCCACATGTTTTGCTTTATCCATAATTAATTTAGTATGAAGACAAAATAATATTTTCACTTATTAATTGAGCAATCAATTACATCTGCTACCAACTCAGAGATCTGACATTAAGTATTCATGTGTGGCTGTTTACTGGTTAGAAGTGCATATCTAACAGAGTTCATGGAATATATTACTCATTATATCCCTTTAATTGGATCACCCTCTTTTCATAAATATTATGACAAACAAGGAGCTATGACAGCAGAGCTACCTGGTTTACTCACATTTTAAGGTCATAATCAGATTTGGGCAAGTGTATTTTTGACCTGACATTTTTCTGTTGTAAGGTTTTGGTCTGTTTTCTTTGGTGAATGAAAAGTTTGCTGATTTAGAAAACTGTAAGATTTTAGTTGACACCAGCCCCTTCTCTCATCAGCTTAACTTTGTTCACCTAGGGCTGAAACAGTGAAATACCATAATATAGTTGATTTAGATAATATCAAGGCATGTCTAAAGTTTGATGTTACCTTGATCACGTGATTCTACTATGCAGGGATCTCTGGTTCCTCTTCTTAGTGTTTTTAAATAAATAATAACAAGGAGATAAATAATTTGTTTTATATTAAAATGCTAAGTTTTAAATTTTTCACAAACCAAAAATCTGTAATTTTAATTCACACTGATTTTCCTTCCTTGCTTTTCAAGCAGTAAATGACACTAGGAAAGACATTTGTATTTTATATGTTTAAAATATAGTTATAAACAAGGAGAGATAAATAACTGAAATTTAAATTCATGAAAAGTTAATGATTGTAAACATAAACTCTCTTGTAAGAATATACAAAGTATAAAGGCGTCCTGAATTTTTAATTTATAAGGATGTGTTAGTTCAGGTCCTCCAAAAAGTGGACTCCAAAATGGGTTAGATGTGCAAGAGGTCTACTGAAGGACATGTGTGAAGGACAGTCAGGGAGTCAGGGAAGGCTGGGAGCACAGACAAGGGCCCCTGTGCATAAGAAGGAAAAGAAGGGTTGTGTTAGAAAAGTTTTAGACTTTAGTGCAGTACTAACAAGGTTTGACAAGCAAGTGGAAAATCTTTAAGCCCAGATCATCTGTCAGAAAGTTCCATGTTTCTCATGAATGGTTTGCCTCAGGACTATCTCTGCAGCTCTGTCACTGGCTTGAAAGCAGACCATGGGAAGACTGCACTTGGGACCAAGTGACTTGGGTTGTAATCTCAACTTTGTAGTTAAGCTAACATTGTGATCTTCATTTAGTCATTTATCCAAAAGATTTTAATTTCTCTATTTCTGTGTTTATCTTTTCTGATTTTAAATCTTATGGTTGTATAAAAGATGACTGGGACATTATATCTACAATTTTTTAAAACAGAAGGTAATATCTGAAAAAAGTTAAAATTCCAATTTTCATTTTATTCTGACTTCAGTAGTATGTATTAGATACAGTAAATTTTTATTTTTAATAGGGCATTGTTTTTGCTACTTAATAGTGAATTTCTCTATTGACATATATTTGAAAGACAGCAAATATTATACCATATTAATATACTATGTGAAGATATTAATTTTGTTTATATAGTAACTTTTCATTTCTGTTTCATCATAGTATTTTGTGCCAATTACATGAGGACACATGAAATTGGTGCCAAGTGGAAGTATAATATAGTAAAGTATTTCTTAGGAACATTCACATCTCACTTCTTATTCTCCTTCTATTTTCTTTGATTCAGTCTTATCTCCAAAATTTCCTCAATTCTTCAGAGATTTTAAATGTATTTATTCACTCATTCAGTCAAGAAAAATGTATGTGTCTACTAAATAGCAGGCATGTTCTGAATGTTGGATATATAGAGAATAAATTGCACTGCCTTCATGGTACTTACATTCTCATGAGAGAGGTAAATAAAGAAAAAAATACAAGTAAAGTATAACATATTAGATAATGATAAGTTCTGTAAAAAAAATAATATGTGGTAGGTGGGGTGGAAGTAATAGTTGGGGTCCTTTTTAGATAGAGTAGTCTGGAGGGCTTATCTGATGAGGTGTAGATATTAAGCAAAGACCCTGAGGAAGTGTTCTAGGCAGAGGGTTGAAGGTCCAACTAGTAAAAAGACCCTGAGCAAATCTATCAGTTCAGAAAGTAGATCAGTTGCTCAAGGCAGGGGACTGATGGGGGAGAAGGGAGAGTGTCTGCTAATGGGTATAAGTTCCTTCTTGAGGTGATGAGATATTCTCAAATTAGATAGTGGTTATGGTTGTACAACTGAATATTTTAAAAACCATTGAATTGTATGCATTAAGGGAGTAAATTTTATGGCATATAAGTGATATCTCAATGTATCACTTTTTTAAAAGACCCTAAGGTAAGAATAAGTTTGGTGAAATGAGAAATAGCAAGAAGTTTGGTATGGCTAGACTAGAACAAGTGAGGTAGGAGACAGGTGTATGATGTCAGAGTAATATATTTATTTTTTGGAGACAAGTAAGTACTCTTGACCTCTACCTATATTTCCACCCTAACAAAAGAACCTTTATACTATTTCTTTTGGGACTGGAATTCACCTAGCTCACATAATTGGAAAATAATCTCATGAACTAACATAGAAAAGGAGTTAATGATAGATTCTCAGGGATTTTTTGTTTGAATAGGATATTGCTGGAGATAAAAATACCTAAACAGGGATGTCTATCCTGTGGGCTATGGGCCCAGAATGTGTTTGGAAGGGGTCTGGAATCCATGTCTGTAGGTCAAGTAAATTTTTAATGTTGTCATTTTTTAACATGTTGGAAACCACTTGGTTAAAACAGAGAACTCCTTTTCTTAGAGATATTGCAGACACTTGTAAAAGACTGGTAATGAATGATATTTTGGGGTATATATTAAAGTGGAGGCTTTTTAGTCCTGTAAACATAGCTTCTATACTGTGGCAATTTTCATATATGTAAAAACAGACTTTGATGGACATATACAGTCAGTTTTTTATTATCTCTGTGTGGATTATTTTTGATACAATTTTTATCCTCAGGTGACCTTTCCAATATATTTCTAGGTAGCTTATTACTTGTATGCAGTTTCAGATAATAATTTTAAAAACTGTATTGCTTTTTATTATCTCAGTATAAAAAATATAAAAGTTTTGGCAAAAAATTCAACAAGTCATATTTCTTATGTAACTAAATATTTTAAGGAATACTAGTAATTGCTAATATATATGTTCCTCCTTGCCAATAAAGAAAATAAAAACTTGGCCTTCTAAAGCATAACAGAATTTTATTAATTCATTAATTTGGAAAAAGCTTATTTCCTTTTCTAGGAAAAAGGCATTGAAGTGATGTTTTCTCCTCACCCTTGCCCTTCTTGGACCCTTGACTGGAATAATCTTCCTGCAGCAGTGAGCCCCAAAGAAGGTGAGTTTGGTTTTTTTTCCTCCTTTAAATTTTATTTGTAATCTGGGTACCCCATTCAGATCTGTCTTCCAAATCTCTAATTCTCTCTTTGGCTATATTTAATACTCTGATAATACTACTCATTGAGTTTTCATTGTATTTTTATTAGAAAAATTTCAAATATACACATTGCCTACATTTAACATTTCCTACATTTGCTGCATTTATTCCTTTTTTTTCTTTGCTGAATATTTCGAAGGAAATTCCAGGTAATATGTCACACTGTAGTACCCATATCTAAAGAGTATTGACATCTTAAATTATCACCATGTTATTATCACACCACAGAATTAAAATTCCTTGCTCCTGTAATGCCCAGTCCATAATCATCTTCTGCTATTTGTTTTTTTCTGTTGACTTCACTCCTGGTTTCTTATTTCACTGTTAGTTTTGTTATTTTAGATTGTGAATTCATTTTTTTGGCTACCTAAATCTGTAGGAATCTTGTGGAGCTAGGTTAGGAATAAATTACCATAGAAAGGACTTATATTTATTTATGCCAGGCATCTCAAGTTACTAGAACTTAAGACTACTTAGCATTATTTTTTCAGTTTGAGATTTCTTCAGCCTTTTCTATCAGGAGCTGAGGTTTAAGCAGACATGTTACTTTTTATCATCTTACTTGACTGTTGAGTAGGACTTTTTTTTTTAGTGATTATTTTCTTAAGAAATATAACTTTTCAAGTTTCTGCTTTTATGTAGTGATATTAGTTCCCACTCCCTACCATTATAGGAATCACAGACTAGCCTCTTTGTCTTTCTGTTAAAGCCTAGATCCCTATTATTAGCAAATAACTTCCTAGCATCAGTGGTGTCAGTTTAAGATTACTACACTGCTTTTTCACTCCTTTTTAAGGCTACATGGATCTCCTTTACTCTCAGAAATCTGTTAGACATATAAAAGGATGATTGTTGAATTTTAAATACTATTTTAGGCATTTTTAGATGGAGAACTCTTTTAAAGCTCAATGTACTATTTATTTAATTGTCCACCTATTCTTTAGTTTTATACTAAGCCAAATGTAACTTTTGATATTCAAATTTTCTTTGAAATTGTTTGCCTTCCTTTTTCATATTCTTTTCTTCTGTGATGTTTCTAATATTGCCTGTATTTCACTGCCAATTCTATTCTGTCAATGAAGGAAATAATTTAGAAATCTTCTAGAATGGAAGAAGATTATGTTGGAAACTTAAGAACTTCTGCCTCAAAGACATTTTATAAAAATGAAATTTGTATTTTGGTCTTTTATTAAATATATGAAAAACAGTCACTAATGAATATGTTGATATTTTAATTTTAAATATTTTCTGACACTGAAAATTTTTAATACTGTTTTTATTGTACTTGCAGTTGATTATTTTATATATTTACTAGTATAGTAAAGATATAGCCTAGATTTTGAACAGGTTAAAACTATACTAAATAACAAATCAGCTTCTTACTAAGATTTATATTTATCAAGAAATGAATACAGAGTTTTCTAAGTGCCACATGTTTTGCTTTATCCATAATTAATTTAGTATGAAGACAAAATAATATTTTCACTTATTAATTGAGCAATCAATTACATCTGCTACCAACTCAGAGATCTGACATTAAGTATTCATGTGTGGCTGTTTACTGGTTAGAAGTGCATATCTAACAGAGTTCATGGAATATATTACTCATTATATCCCTTTAATTGGATCACCCTCTTTTCATAAATATTATGACAAACAAGGAGCTATGACAGCAGAGCTACCTGGTTTACTCACATTTTATATACTGTTTCTTGAAAAGTTTATAGTTTATGTTAAACTAAGGCTGAACTATGGGATTTTAGGTTTTGTTTTCAGTCTGGCAATTTCTGTATTGCATGGCTATAGGGTCTTTGTGAAATGAAGTTATTATATGTAGGGTATGGAGGTCATTATGAAAGCGTTCTCATGATTTCTGTTCTTGTACCGTTTTTTAGGAGAGGTGGAATTGTAGTAAGATTTTATCAGTACTTGATTCATTTGAATGTTTGTAAGACATCCATATACTGAATCCACTGAGTTACATCAAGGCTGGGTGTGTACTGTAAGAATCATCCTCTTTACTAACAGGCTATATTAATTTTTGTGATGGACTTCAATATATTTCTTAAGCTTGTATAATCTTCTACTCTCTGCTCTCGTTCATTTTTCTCCCCACATCTTAAATACCATTTCCTCAACTTTTCATTGTTTCCCTTATACAACCTATATTTATTATCTTCATGCATTCACTTTTATTTTTCCTCCAGCCTTGAATATTCTGCTTCCTACTTCCCTTCCTATTGCAATTGTCCTCATCTTTTAAGGATCAACTCAAATGTTGCTTCCTTCATTAAGCCTACTGTGTAGGCTTTGGAGTCAGCCTGCCTGAGTTTGAAACCTAGGCTGCTAACTAGCTAGATTATGTATGGCCAGATTCTCAACTTGTCTGTGCCTCAACTGCCTCAGCTGTAAAATGGGGATGGTAATAGTACCCACCTTATGAGATTGTTGGTACATTCAATGAATTAATATATAAAACAATACACAGTCTTGTAAATAGTACATGTTAAATAATACCAATATATTAGAAATAATAATTCCCTCTCAACATTCCTTTAGTACTTTCCTATACTTCATTTTTGGCACTAATAGTATGGTTCTCTTATACTATAATTGTGTGAATATTATCCTTCTCTAATGGGCTGTGAGCTCTTCAAATATAGGTCCCCATGGATAGGTACTCAATAATATTTTATTAAATTGGATTGAATTGAGACTGCAAATGCTTTTCTTAACTTCCCAAATTTCTGCTTAAACCAGGCAACTTTTGAATTCTTTTGTTTCAGGTGGATTTAAAGGGCTAAAACAATTGAGGATATTTAGTTTGAAGGGAAGAGAACTGCAGATTTAATTTATATAATCATTATTGTTTATTATTCTTAGTTATTATTATATTTTTTTATGGACTGTTTGGGACATTATGCCACTTCTAAATACTTAACTATCTCCTTTAAGAACAAGAACATTTTCTTATGTGGCAATAGTACAGTTATCAAAGCAGGATATTTAATTTGGCATATACTATTATCTAATCTACAGTCCAGTAGATTGTGGTGCATTTAATTGTCATGTCTCTTTAGTCTCCTTTATGTGAAACCATTTCTCAGTCTTTCTTTGCTTTTTATAATAGAACTTTTTTGAAGAGTTCACACCACTTTTTGTAGAACACCTTTCAATTTGGGATTTGTCTAATGTTTCTTCATGATTAGATTCAAGGTATGCGTCTTTCTCAGGAATGATGTTATGTCCTCAATGCATCATACCAAGAGGTATATTATGTCCGTTTGGCCTCAGTGATGTTAACTTTAATAATTTGGTTAATGTGGTGTCTGCCAAGTGTCCCTACTGTAATGTTACTATTAATAAATAGTTTGTGGAGAGGTATTTGGGACTACATAATATGTTGTTTCTTTTCAAAATTTTATTCACTTGTTTATATTCATTTCCTGCCTCTTGCTCATAATAGTTGTAAAATGGCAATTTTTCAGCTCCATCATCTCTCTATATTGTTAATAGTTGCCACTCTACTGTAAGAAGTTTTTCCCATCTTAAATATCATTCTGTCTCTTCATTATCAGTATTGACTCGTGGGTTTTTATTTTATTAAATAAGTTATAATCCATCATTGTCATTATTTATTGCACTGTTCAAATTGTCCCAGATTGTGAGCCCCTTCAAGCTAGCTCCTGATCCTTTGCAAATGCCCCAATCATTCTATGACCACTTCACTAATTTCTGGCATAACAAAATAGTACAGGCTCATTTTGTCATTTCCTCGCCGCAGCCCTAGAATCAGCTGTTTTTCCAAGGAGCCCTTCCTTTGGTAGAGAATAGTATTTAGGAATTAAAGTTTGGGCACAAAGTGTGCTCAGTGCTAACAGCGTTACTGCTTCTTGGTACTCTCAGATGGGAGATGAATGTATAAATAGAATCATGAGGAATATTATATATATGTATATATGCATATACATACATTCATCATCACACATGTCAGTATCTACTGCTGTACCTATGTATCTGTTATCTCTATGTATTGAAAATCATGAGTTTATATTGATACCTCTAATTTCAACCTAACACCACAGGATCCTTGTTAGTTTTTCTCAATTCAGTATCTGTATCTACTTCCAACAGTAAAATACAGAGCTCCAAGTATCACCAGTGTTTTTGCTCATTTGTTTAGAATTGCGATACCCATGTCTGTGAAAAATACACCAACTAAACCAAATTTCAACTGTTTGCAGTTATTTCGATCTTTTAGGATACATGGTCAAAGTTCTCATGCAGACAGTTATTATCTATGGTTTGATAGGGATGAATTTTAAAAAGTGAGGAATGAAAAGTTTTAGTATTAATCATGTCTGCTGATAGAAAATCTTCAACCGACAGTTTTCTCCTGCATGGAGAAGATCCATCCAATTGCCTACTCTCTATGACTAGTTGGTTTCAAATAATTGTGATTTCCTACTCTAACGAACTAGGATAGATACTGTGTGAGCCTGAGGCATCTCTGTTCTAGCCCTCTGAATTTTTACCCTCTGGATGTGAAGGAAGGAATGAATATAAAATCTTTTTCCTTAAGACCTAGGAGAGAGCTGTCCCAAGCCGCTCACTCCATGCAGTATTTTCCTATGGCCCTTTCTGTTCTCCAGGAGCTTTTAGGAGGGTGGTTCCTATATTAGGAGTTACCCTTAGCCCAGGATCACCGTATCAGTCACATGGGAGGGAAGAGAGTCAGAAGCATGACCTTACAGAAGATAAAGGCAACAAGATGATAGTTGTTCAGGTGTTGTTCCAGTTATAATCCCTTTTATTCTTATATTCAAGGTTCCCCTGTGTTACAAGTATGGCCCAATTAGGTATAACAAGGCCTTGGTTTTGCTTTTGAGCTACACGAGAGC